TTTATTTTGGGTTCTTTTGCCCATTTTTGTCCCTTTTTGCCCATTTCTGGTGTCCCCAGGAGGAGCAGCGGCACATGAAGACCATTGATAATTTTGGGTTATTTTGAGTTCTTTTGTCCCTTTTTGCCCATTTTTGCCCATTTCTGGTGGTTTCTCCCCAGGATGATCAGCGGTGCATGAAGCCCATCGATAATCTTGATTTATTTTGGGTTCTTTTCTCCATTTTTTACCATTTCTGGGTGTTTTCTCCCCAGGAGGAGCAGCGGCACATGAAGCCCATTGATAATCTTGATTTATTTTGGGTTCTTCTGTCCCTTTTTGACCATTTTCCCCCATTTTTGGTGGTTTCTCCCCAGAAGGAGCAGCGGCACATGAAGCCCATGGATAATTTTGGGTTCTTTTGGGTTCTTTTGTCCCTTTTTGACCATTTTCACCATTTTTACCGTTTTTTGGCGGTTTAGAGATCCGCAAGAAGCTGGGCGGGGCCAACAAGTGAGGGCGGGGCCAAAGGGGGCGGGGCCAAAGGGGTGTGGCCAACAACAGGGTGGGATCAATGAGGGGTGTGGTCAAAGGGGGTGTGGCCAAAAGGGCGGACATCAGCCAGGAGGAGGTGACACCTGGGACACCCTGGGACACCCCTGTCCTCCTGTGTCACCCTGAGCAACGCCCTGTGTCCCCCATGTCCCCTGACCCCCGATTGTCCTCCATGTAACTCTGATTGTCCCCTCAGGGTGGTGGCACCGGCGAGGACGCGGGTGGCAGCTCCAGCCGTGTCCCCTGGGTGTCCCCTGAGTGTCCCCTGTGTCCCTCAGGGTGGTGGCACCGGGGAGGACGCGGGTGGCAGCTCCAGCCGTGTCCCCTGGGTGTCCCCTGAGTGTCCCCTGTGTCCCTCAGGGTGGTGGCACCGGCGAGGACGCGGGTGGCAGCTCCCAGCGCAGCTCCAGCCTGTACGCGCGCGAGGCTCTGATCGAGATCGACTACAGCGACCTGCCCGAGGAGCTCAAGGTGGGACAGCGGGCACGGCTGGCACACCTGGCACAGCTGGGCACACCTGGCACAGCTTGGGTTCACCTGGGTACACCTGGAGGTGTTGCAGCACAGCCCCTCAGGGTGGTGGCACCGGCGAGGACGCGGGTGGCAGCTCCCAGCGCAGCTCCAGCCTGTACGCGCGCGAGGCTCTGATCGAGATCGACTACAGCGACCTGCCCGAGGAGCTCAAGGTGGGACAGCGGGCACGGCTGGCACAGCTGGGCACATCTGGGCACAGCTGGACATGCTTGGGTTCACCTGGGTACACCTGGAGGTGTTGCAGCACAGCTGGGCACAGCTGGGTACACATGAGCACACCTGGGTATGCCCAACACACCTGGGCACGGCTGGGCACAGCTGGGCACACCTGGGCACTGCTGGGCACAGCTGGGCATGCCTGGATACCTCTGGGTACACCTGGACATGTTCCAGCACACCTGGGCACAGCTGGGCACACCTGGCACACCTGGGCACTGCTGGGTACAGCTGGGCATGCCTGGATACCTCTGGGTACACCTGGACATGTTCCAGCACACCTGGGCACAGCTGGGCATGCCTGGGCACACCTGGATACACCTGGGTACACCTGGAGGTGTTGCAGCACAGCTGGGCACAGCTGGGTACACATGAGCACACCTGGGTATGCCCAACACACCTGGGCACGGCTGGGCACAGCTGGGCACACCTGGGCACTGCTGGGCACAGCTGGGCATGCCTGGATACCTCTGGGTACACCTGGAGATGTTCCAGCACACCTGGGCACAGCTGGGCATGCCCTGGGCACACCTGGATACCTCTGGGTACACCTGGAGGTGTTCCAGCACACCTGGGCACAGCTGGATACACCTGGGTACACCTGGGCTTGTCCTACATCTCCTGCTGTCTGCATGTCTTGTGTCCCCAATGTCCCCCGATGTCCCTGATGTCCCCAATGTCCCCAATGTCCCCGTGTCCCCAGGATGCCCAGGCAGAGGAGGAGATCCGGCAGGAGATGGCGGCGCTGCAGCAGCGGCTGGCGTGTCCCCGTGTCCCTGTGTGTCCCCATGTCCCTGTGTGTCCCCTCATGCTCCATGTCCCTCACACCCTGTGTGTCCCCTGATGTCCCCAATGTCCCCTGATGTCCCCAGGACACCCAGGCGGAGGAGGAGATCTGGCAGGAGATGGCGGCGCTGCAGCAGCGGCTGATGTGTCCCTGTGTCCCTCACACCCTGTGTGTCCCCAATGTCCCCTGATGTCCCCAATGTCCCCGTGTCCCCAGGACGCCCAGGCAGAGGAGGAGATCCGGCAGGAGATGGCGGCGCTGCAGCAGCGGCTGACGTGTCCCCGTGTCCCTCACACCCTGTGTGTCCCCTCATGCCCCATGTCCCCTGATGTCACACAGTGTCCCCAATGTCCCTGTGTGTCCCCAGGATGCCCAGGCAGAGGAGGAGATCCGGCAGGAGATGGCGGCGCTGCAGCAGCGGCTGACGGAGCAGCAGAGCGTCCTGCAGCGCATCGCCGCCCCCAACATGAAAGCCATGGAGAAACTGGAGAGCGTCCGCGACAAGTTCCAGGAGACCTCGGACGGTGGGACACCGTGGGGACATCGTGGGGACAGGGGGACATGGGGGGACAAGTTCCAGGAGACCTCGGACGGTGGGGACACCATGGGGACATCGTGGGGACAGGGGGGGACAAGTTCCTGGAGACCTTGGACAGTGGGGACACCACGGGGACACTGTGGGGACACCCTGGGGACAGGGGGGAGACATGATGGGGACAAGTTCCAGGAGACCTCGGACGGTGGGGACACCATGGGGACATCGTGGGGACAGGGGGGGACAAGTTCCTGGAGACCTTGGACAGTGGGGACACCACGGGGACACTGTGGGGACACCCTGGGGACAGGGGGGAGACATGATGGGGACAAGTTCCAGGAGACCTCGGACGGTGGGACACCATGGGGACATCGTGGGGGGACATGGGGACAGGTTCCAGGAGACCTCGGACGGTGGGGACACCATGGGGACACTGTGGGGACACCGTGGGGACAGGGGAGGGACATGGGACAGGGTCCGTGACAAGTTCCAGGAGACCTCGGACGGTGGGACACCACGGGGACATCGTGGGGGGACAGGGGGATGTGGGGGGACAAGTTCCTGGAGACCTCGGACGGTGGGACACCGTGGGGACATCGTGGGGATGGGGGGGACAAGTTCTTGGAGATCTCGGACGGTGGGGACACCGTGGGGACATGGGGGGGGACATGGGACAGGGTCTGACAAGTTCCTGGAGACCTCGGACGGTGGGGACACCGTGGGGACATCGTGGGGACACAAGGGGACATCATGGGGGCATGGGGACATGGAGGGGACACCATGGGGACATGGGACAGTGTCCAAAACAAGTTCCAGGAGATCTTGGACAGTGGGGACATCATGGGGACATGGGACAGGGTCCATGACAAGTTCCAGGAGACCTCGGGCGGTGGGGACATGGGGGGACACCTGGGGGGGACATGGGACAGGGTCTGTGACAAGTTCCAGGAGACCTCAGATGGTGGGACATGTGGGGAGTTGGGGGGGACACTATGGGGATGTGGTGGGGACACGTTCCAGGAGACCTCGGACAGTGAGACATGGTGGGGACACCATGGGGACATCGTGGGGACATGGGGGGACAAGTTCCAGGAGACCTTGGATGGTGGGGACACCATCGGGACATCGTGGGGACATGGGGGGACAAGTTCCAGGAGACCTTGGATGGTGGGGACACCATCGGGACATCGTGGGGACACCACGGGGGGGACATGGGACAGTGTCTGTGACAAGTTCCAGGAGACTTCGGACGGTGGGGACATCATGGGGACATGGGGGGACATTGTGGGGACACGAGGGGACAAGTTCCAGGAGACCTCAGACGGTGGGGACACGGGGGGACATCATGGGGACACGGGGGGACAAGTTCTTGGAGACCTTGGACTGTGGGACATGGTGGGGACAAGTTCCAGGAGACCTCAGAGGGTGGGGACACAATGGAGACATCGTGGGGACACAGTGGGGACAAGTTCTAGTAGACCTTGGATGGGGGGACATGGGAGGACATGGTGGGGACACCATGGGGACAAGTTCCAGGAGACCCCGGACAGTGGGACACCGGGGGGACATGGGGGGATGTGGAGGGGACACGGCGTGTCCCCTGGCTGGCTGTGCTGTCCCCTGATTGTCCCTGCTGTCCCCAATGTCCCTCAGAGTTCAAGGCCGCCCATAAACGTACCAAGAAGGCCGAGCAGGCGTGTCCTGACCCCAGTGTCCCCTGGCTGTCCCTGATGTCCCCTGGGTGTCTGTGTTGTCCCCAGCTGTCCCCAGTGTCCCCTGATGTCCCCAATGTCCCCCCAGAGTTCGAGGCGGCCCGCAAGCACGCCAAGAAGGCCGGCCAAGCAGGCGTTTGAGCAGATGAAGAAGGAGAGGTTCGACCGCTTCAACTCCTGCTTCGAGGCCGTGGCCACCAACATCGACGAGATCTACAAAGCGCTGTCACGGAACAGCAGCGCCCAGGTGGGCACGGGCACACACCTGGCACACACCTGGCACATACCTGGGCATGGGCACGGGGCTGGCACACACCTGGGCACACACAGCGCTGTCCCGCAACAGCAGCGCCCAGGTGGGCACGGGCACACACCTGGCACACACCTGTACAGCCTGGCACACACCTGGGCACCTGTCACACACAGCGCTGTCACGGAACAGCAGCGCCCAGGTGGGCACGGGGCACCTGGGCACGGGGCTGGCACACACCTGGCACACACCTGGGCACACACAGCGCTGTCCCGGAACAGCAGCGCCCAGGTGGGCACGGGGCACCTGGGCATGGGGCACACACCTGGGCACGGGGCTGGCACACACCTGG